AGGGAGGGATAGAGAGGACGGGATGGAGTGGATAGAGAGGGAGAGAGGGGAGGGAGGGATAGAGGGGACGAGAGGAGGGGACGGGATAGAAAGGGAGGGAGGAGACGGGAATATGAGGAGGAATATAGAGGGGCAGGAAGAGAAGGAATGGCAGGAGGGTGGCGAGGAAGTTAGGGGAAGAAATGGAAGGAAGGGAAAGAGAGAGGAAGAAAGAAGACGAAGAGAGGGAGATAAAAAGAGACGGACGGGAGAGAGTTAGGGAGGGAACGGCAGGAAGAAAGAGGACTGGGTAAGAAGGAGGTACTGCGGGAAGGAAGGAGGGCAGTAGGAAGGTAATGATGTGGGAAAGAAGAGAGGGGAAAGGCTGTGAGAAAAGGACAGGGCATGAGGAATATAGGACGGGGAACGACAACATGGGTATCCGCACGCCCATGGTTTTGACACCCACCTCTCGTATCACACCACTGCGTGTGCTGCGAGAGTCGGAGTCGGAGCAGCAGTAACAACAGTCACTCTCTATTTATTTATCAGGTGCAGGCTGCCGGCGATTGCATAGAAATGGTCGTCAGGGCGAGCGGAATGGTGCCTTTTATGTATATATATATACATGCATTCACACACGTGCACGCACGCACGCACGCACGCACGCACGCACGCATATCAGCAGCAGCAGCGACTACCGTATGTAACCGGTATGCATGCGCACGTATTGCCAGAGTTAGAGGCAGTACGGCTACGACCAGTAGCAGAATCCATTGCCAGTCGTTACGACTATTGCCGATACAACCATTGCCAGTAGATAAACCCATTGGCAGTAGTTATAGCCATTTCCAGTACCAAAACCCATTGCCAGCAGATCAAGAGCAGATAATACACATGTACAGATGTACAGATGTACACATGTACAGATGTGTATTATCTGCTCTTGCAGCAGATATATAGCTATTGCGGTATACAGCTATTATCAATTAGTGCATCACGTGATAAATCGTTGAAATCCCATTGGATAACGTCGCAGGTACTATGACAGCATAGTGCCCCCAACAACAGGCATTAATGTTTTTAGTGCATCACATGCATGACTTTGCAATCTACTCGGCAAATATGAAGTGAATAAAAAAATCTGGAGCGCTCCATGTTGTTGATAACAACGCTGGTCTCGCCACCTGTCGATGACTCAGGAAAACTGCTACAGGTAGGGGAAATTGAATTCGAATTTTGAAATTGAATTCGAACAATGCAAATAACAATGCATAAATGCAATAACATGACAACAATGCGTCGCGGCAAGCAATAGTGCCGCTCAGGCGCGAGAACTATTTTTCATAGTACCTGGCGACGTTATCCAATGCGATTTCAACCGAGTTTATCCCGTGATGCACAGGGGCACAGCGTTGTTATCAGTCAGAACGACAACAACACTGGCAGCAGGCCTCCAGATTTTTTTATTCCACTTCATATTTGGCCGAGTAGGATTAGCCAAAGTGCATCATGTGTATGCACTAAAACCACATTAATGCCTGTTGTTGGCGGACACTATGCTGGTCATAGTGTTTGCTTTGCGGAAGGAATAGTGCCCTCGCTATACCATACCTTACCCTCTAGCAACACATTGGAGAGCCCACCCGCTCGCCCCAACACACAGGCTTCATATCATCAAATAAGTTAACCATGCGCAACTATAGGCTACATGGCGTAAAGGCCGCTACCGCCACCATCAGTTTCAATCAGGCAAGCTATTACCACTTAGCATAATTAGAGTTTAGTTCAATGCAGCCTAATTGCTAACTATATTAGCTATATACAGCATACCTTGACAGTAATTACCACCAGTTATTTTCCAATAGTTATCACCATCCATCCCGCCAATAGCCAATGCATCAATTGCAATAGTTTCCACAAACTATGACAACAACATATATATATGGCATGTAGTAAACTTGTATCAGTCATTACGCCATGCCGATAGTACTGCCCACGCCAACAGAGGAATCCTGCCCACGGCAACACCCGCACATACCACCAGGCACACACCACCACGACACCCGCCACGCCACCGCACGCCACCGCGGCACGCGCACGACACAACGCGCACGCACCACCGCCACACGCACACGCACACGCCCCACAGCACACACCAACACGCCACGACACGTCACACGCACACGCACCGCAACACGCAACCAGCACACCGCACCACACACACCAACACACAACACACACCACACACACACAAACACAAACCACCAGACACAAACACAAACACAAACCACAACACAAACCAAACACCACCCACACACACACGACACACCACAACACACACACACACACACACACACAGCACACCACACACCGACACACACACACACACACAAACAACAACACACAGAACCAAAACACCAAGAACACACACCCACGCACGCCACGCACGCATGCACATCTACGCACCAGCACGCACGCACGCACCGCACGCCACGGCACCGCCAACGAGACACAAGGACCCGCGAACACGTCATCCACCACACACACACACATACACACAGCAGACGCTGATCGCCGACGGCACGACATCCGCTTCTGCCCGATCGTGCGACGGAGGACGAGTGTGGTTTTTCAACAAATTAGCAAATTTGACGATGCCATAAGTGTGTGGGTACCCCCGCGCCGGAAATTGGCTTGGTCTATTAGAGCCGACGTGAAGCGCGTGAGCGGGTTTCCCATTCAATCGCGAAACAGTCGGCGGTTGTGCGGACGGTATGTGTAAGTTGCTCGGCGCCGCCGCCGCCGGCGCGCCGCATGGCACCGGCAGAGACGGCGCCGGTGCGCAGGCGGGGACCGAAGTCGGTGCGCGCGCGACTTTGAATCGCTGCCGGGCCTATTGTGTTGGATTTCGTTCTCTGCGGGTTCTCCTCCTCACCCTCCTCCCCGCAACGAGGATGAGCGAGACGTGTTTTATAAATAATTGTCTGCCTCGGCGACGGTGGCGGGCTGCGGCCCCGCCCAGCACAGAGCCGAAAGCGATGGAAGCGCGGCCGTCCCTAT